CCACTGGAGCATGTCTTATGGGAACAAACTCTCTCGTTGGACAAAGACCTTTCTTCAAACCGTCAGTTTCATCTGCATAACGTTGTACGGCATCTGCATGTTGTTTGTTGTTCTGTTAACCAGGAATATATGCATACTTCTCATTTCCTATGGGGGACACTAAACAGACAAATAGAGAACGGGAATGGCCCCGTCCCGAAACCCTGTCGGATTTCGACAGCATGAAGCCAAACTCAGATCTAACAAATTACGTCTAGCAAAATGGCATTAAGTTATTTTCCTAGGTCATTATCGAATGTTTAGTTTCACTGTCTACAATTCCACCATCATTCATGATTGATTCATTCATGCATTTACCCATTGATTCATGTTCAGAGCCCGCCATCCTTGATGGATTGTGGAGTTGGCAGCTTCACGAGATTTTCTAATGATCTCTGCCCTCCGCTAATCCGATAAACTTCAGAACTAGAATGCAAGAGTCTCAGATTGTTTATTGCCGATTCATCGGATGATAAATGACTAATTGTATTTCGGTTCGGTGTTTGCCAGTCATAACTTAGTCGGAACTACATTGGGTTTGAAAATACTGTGCGTATATCGTGGTGTATTTATCCTGTGAATCTGTTATTAGAAGAGATTTTTCTATGATCAGGATCCTCCACCAATCCGATAGATTCCATAGGCTAGATTATAACGATTTCTGATCGGACAATAAATCACTACCGGTGTTTTGTTAAGGTTTTTGTATGCCGCAGCTCATAATCTAGATAGCATTGAAAAATACATGCGTTTGAAAGCTGCGTCTAACACTGTATTGATTTATTCTGCCCGTTTTCACTCGCTCTTGCTTATATCTTTCCTGTACGAATAATATTTGCATGTTATAAGTCATTAATTTCTGGATTAACCATTAATCAAGTTTTATGGTCAACAAGCAAAAGATGCAAGGGCAAGATAGAGTAGAATGGAGCACTTTTTCTTTAGCTTCAGTGTTTGCCACGAATTAAGAAATGGTTAGCTAAACAAGTAACAGTATCGACCAGTGACAACGTTTTTTGTCTTACGGTACAACAGTAAAAAACAATAACATATTAGTACAAATCCAGATGAAACGATCTGAGCGTTTGACTAAATTAATCCAAGAAGAATGCATGATGGGATCTTTTCATCATACCGCCTTAGCCCCTTTAGCGGAGATGGAAAATTCATTCACAAGACGAATGAAACAAATCAACCTAACGATGCCTGATATACGTTTTCCGAAAGTGGATAACAAAATAGGATGCTTTCGGTCGCTTGAACTGTCAAAACATGACAAAACTGACAAAATAATGCCAAGACTTGCCTAGCCGTTTTGACCCCTTCCGAACATGACATTTTGTAGTAATAATAATTATACAATAGATTAAATAAATAATAATAATCATTATGCAATAGATTAAATAAAGCTGTTCATTTGCGTTGCTATGCTGCGTCTACGTCTAATAGAATCAAATGGAACAGTCGTTAATTTGGTCTCAGCAGATACGATTCGTCTTAGAAACAGAAGGATTCGCAGAGGCTTGGCGGTTGTTTTGATCGTGACAGTTGACAGTAATATATAATAATCATAAGAGATTAATATAGTTAACATAACTACAAATTATTCTTTTTGTCCCATTTCAATGACAAGGAAAACGACGCTTGGCAAGGTACACATAATCACCGTTTGTCATTTTAATCAGCACATGTAACGTCAGTCCCAAGCCGCCCTAATCACATTGCCTGCTTTTTGTACCAACAATGAAACAACACCTGAAACATCTGAAAGCCTTCAGACGGGTACAAGAAAAGTCGTCAAGAAATGCCCACAAGACTTAAAACACTACTGATAAGTGGCATAGCGCCATGTCTAACCAGTTCTGTGCCCTACCGACCGTACTATTTTAAAATCATCAAGCCAGTCCTTCACGCAGTGTGCTTTAATGACAGCTGATTCCTTCGGATGGCGAGGGAAACCCTTCAGACAGTTCCCGATCACGTGCCAGCGTTTGAGTTTCGGCAGAAGATAATCCGAGTCTGGAGCAGAGTCTTTCGATACACTTGCCCAGGTTATTCTTGGCCATCTCAGGGGTCTTCGGCCGGAGCAACCAGTAGCTGTTTAGCCTTCTTTCCTGTGGCATTCGTAAGACATGCCCAAAAAGTCGCAGCTGTGACTTCTCTGTCTGAAGAAACAGCGGCTGTACACCAAAGCACTCCCGGATAGCTGGACTCCAGGCCACGTCGAGACGCGAGGGACTAGTCTCAGGAAGCCCATTTCAGCCGCTTGTACCGGGGATTGAAATTTTTCAGTCACGGTCCACGACTCATGACCGTGGGTGAGCATGGGGAAGAGGATCAACTTGAATAATGACAGCATAGTCTTTAGACTCAGTTCTGCTTTAGTCACAGTGGCTCAGGCAGGTTCAAGCAGAGCAACGAGTAGGAGAACGAGAAAGTACTAGGCTTTTCGTCGGATCATCATCGGCTGATCATCATGGTTACGATATCCAATATGTCACAAAGTTGATTTTTCCCACTACAACACTGTAGGTGGAAGGAAACGTTTAAGAAACTACCTGTATCAAAC